TATATATATCTCAGAAGACGAGAATTCGTCGAGGGATGCACTCTTGACTTGTACCCCAAATTGCCAACAAAACAGACCTTATTAGCGTGCTGGCACAGTAGAACGCCTGTCTCCAAGATGTTGAAAAAGTTCTCCGCCGTGACGTCATTCTTGTAGAGGCAGGAGAACCAATCAGCGAGATCCTCCTTCATTGCGTATAGGTACTCGTCGTTGGTTGTGAAGCTGCGCAGTGACTTTGGCTCTAGCACCAGCAGCGTCCCCCCGGCACCATCCGCCTCGCCAGCCTCGTTCGTGCTGCTGCTACACGTGCTCGCACCGTCACTCGTGCTCACGTAGTACCCAGAATCCTTGCCGAAGGTCCCTCCCCCTCCTCCGGCACCTCCTCCACTTCCAATCCCACTCAACCGTTCAGAGCCGACGACATTCCCACTGCCGGAAATGACACCAAACGCAGGACTGCCGTAGACGCCGTGAGGGGCAGTGGAGCCATACGGTAACCGAGTTCCGTTGGGTCCCTGGAGGAAACTGCCGTGGAGGGCATGTCCTTGATCTTCATGCATTTGGTGGTGGTGGTATTTGTAGCTTCCGGGGCTATCAGACGCCATGATGAGGTCTAGCAAACCCCACAGGCTTGTCCTCGCCACATGGGCCCACGCGAGTCGCCTCTTTCTTGGAAAGAGTCAAGAGTGATTGTTGGCAAGTAGTAACTGACATCAAAAGAAAGTGCGTTTATAGACAGGGAACATTCAAGTGGCGTATTCGTGGAATCCAATCTGTTAATGACGATTAGACCTTTACACATGACACTGTCGAAGTCTGCATCATCAGAGGCGCTCAGTACTAATGTCTATAGGCTGGGGCAAATAATCCACCCACTCCCCCGATGAGGAAGCAGCTGTGAGAAAACAATGCGAGTGATGATCTTGATCACGGTAGTAGACGCTAGGGATGTGACGAAGCATTAGGCCACACCCGTTATCTGAGGGAAAGATGGAGAGGAAAAAGAGATCCGTTGTAATGATTTTCCATTTTACATACCCTCAATCAATAGAATTTAGATCATATAGGCGGTGGACTGCAGCAACTGGGACTGGGTGTAGATATTTAGTCAAAACACACACAAACACGCATACACACATACAGGGGCGAAGCGTCTATAAAATAAAATAATCACTGCTTCCCTTCCTAATTTTGAAACATTGTCGCTGTCAAATTCACCTATAAACGTAAACCTCATAAATTAAATGTAAAAAGACGTTCATAATCAACAATGAACAGTATGCCTAATATTCAAAA